TGTGGAGTTGCAATAATGAAAAGAAAAAATTCTTATGGCTATGTAGAGGCATTGAGATACAATACAGCTGGGTGAAAAGGACTGTTAATTCTTTTGCAGATGGGTTGGCCAAGCAAGGGGTGAATAGGGAGGCTATTTTTTGGGCTAATTTTTAATCTTCTTTCATTGTAATTTTCTGATGGGAAGATAAGACTCTTTATCTCCCCCTTTTTTGTACCTAAAGCTTCATGATTCTTAATAAAGTTTGTTATTGATCAAAAAAAAAAAGTTCTAGGAGTAGCAAAATTAAACCCAAATGGATTACTTAGCATATGTCATACCAGTCATATAGATAAGAAGACCCTTGACCTTTTCCAATAATTCTGTATCTTTTATGTGGTACACCAACAGGATGAGATGATTAGGATGTCTTAAATGTAGTGGGCCTAGTGGAAAAATTAGCTTTGCCCTTCTTTGCAGTCTTGAATTGTCTTGCTTCAAGTGAGGATAGAGCTTCTAGCAATGATCTCTTGTATGTGTGGACTTTTTATAATACTAATAGGCTGCCTCCTATGTCTTACCAACTAGACTATATTTGCCCATAGTATTCCGCTTAGATCCAGAAGTAGCAAGAGACAAATGGTCTCCCTTAATGATCTAACCCATGGCTACCAACCAACTGTCCTCCCCCTAAACCCGAGAATAGCTTCGGGAAGGCCTAAGATGTCAGCACTCAAAATATGCTGTCTAGTAAAGTCAAATTTCATATTAAGCGTAACTAAGAAATTCAAATACTTTGTTTTTCTCAGTGACTTTCTGATACTGATCAACACCTATTGGGTCCCTCCATTCCAAAGACTCCAAATGGTCTATCTCCCCCTATAAATCCCGTAAAGAGGAGAGGTACATACTGACAGACTTTTGTCTCATGCTACTGGCTTCCCTCCTTAACTGATAGATCCTTGTAGTGCTCCAATGTTGAGAGTAGGTAGCACTAACTCTATGCTTGATATCTTCATCTATAGATAGGAACATATAATTCCTTGCAATATGGGGCTGCATTGAACAGATCAGCCATAACATGACAGATAAATTTTCCTGCTCCCTTCTTGGGTATGCTGGATCATTTGTTGGGGGTCTAGTTTCCTTCTCGGTATGGTACACCAACTGCCCCTGCCCTCCAATAGAAATTATTGCTGATTATGCCCAATTCACTTCTCTTGAGGGAGCAATCTCAAGAATATTTAAAATGAGGCAATCACAGAAGGTCCTCATTACACAGCAGCTTGGTGGATGAGATGGGCCCACAGCTTGTAGATCTCCCACAAACAATCTCCACAGCCCTAAAAAAGCTAAAAAATAGGGTTGGCAGAAAATATGGTTAGAGAACACACCACCATTCACTTCACAGGTGTTCAAATGACATGAGACTACTTCAGGTCTCTCCCAAAATGTCAGATGGACCAAAACTAGCATCCAACTCCATAAAAAAGGTAGATCTGATCAAACAAACCAGTAAATAAAATCTTCTATTTTTCCAATTTTCCACTCGAAAATCCACACAAATATGAAATCTTCTGCAAACAGCTTGAAACAGGTACTAAAAAAATATAAAATCATTATCTACCCAAAAACACGAGCTCATCTCTTTCTGACCTACAGCTGATGTCAGCTGCCAATGGTGATCGCATCAGAAACTAGCTGGACTCTTGAACACCAATAGCTGTCTTCTGTGGTACCAAGTTGATGAACATTTGTAGTAGAACCTCTAGTATTAAACAAGAAGTAGAAAAGGAGAAAGAAGAAGAAGAGAGAACTACAGAATGACCTGAGTTTAGAGTTCCTTCTCATTCCCCTAAACTTTCTTATATAATAATAGAGATTGGTTATAAACTTATAATAACAAACTATTATCAATTAGTCTCTCTCAGAAATAGAAACAAATAAATGTCTAAATCTCTTGCTATAACTGCTCCAATTGTGTGTTACGAAAAAAGGAAACAGATAATAGATTTAATCTCTCGACATGTTGAATGTGGATGTTTTGGAAACTGAACTTCTGAAAACATCTATAAAAATATTGTAGCTGGTCTCCACATGATGGATTATGAGAGATGGTACAGGTTTTCTGATTGTTTGGGTGAAATCAGAGAATCTTTTGGGGTTCTAGTTGTTATGTGTGAGTATGCTACTCTGACGCTAGGTGCAGAAACATGTTCAAATTTCATAAACACAGTGCCAAGCCCATCATGATTTGATCCCATAGAATTCAAATTTCAATGTAATATGATCTTCACAAGAAATGCATTGGAAGTGATCAACATAATATAGATCTGGCTTTTCCTGAATTTTGGATTGGAGAAATTTTCAAGTCCTTCAAAACTTTATCAGAAAAACCAAATGTTTCGCAATTAATAGTGTAGAATGTCAGATTGCTTACATGGCCAACTGCTGCTGATACCAATCTTATACTCAGTTGGCATCACCTACATATGCAGGTAAGCTATAGAAAGATTAAATACATCTATAGGATGGTTGCATGCTCTGACACCTTTCATGATGTACTCTTATCAGAAAATGGAGAAGAAATTGCATGGTACATATGATAGGAAGAGAGAGGGCAGAAGTGAAAATATTAAGCAAGAAATCAAATAGGGTTGCCTGAACCATTTCCTTTCTATTAAACATATTTCAAAAGACAATAATACCCTTGGGAGGCACCCATACATTTGTTTGATGTCTCATTTTTACACTAGATATTTTTCACCTTTCTCATCATTTTGATATTTTAAATGAATTTTTTTTATAATAAATACACAATTATACCTTACTCGGGAGAAATGCCATTGTAAGATCTGTTATGAGCTTTTTTTATAGTTATTTCTTTCTTTGACAGGAAATAACTGGTGGAATGGGTGTGGACATCGCTGTGGAAGCACTGGGKAGACCGCAAACATTTTCACAGTGCACACAGAGTGTACGGGATGGGGGAAAAGCTGTGATGATTGGGCTGGCAAAATCCGGTGCTATAGGGGAGGTAGATATAAATCGACTCGTCCGAAGACAGGTCTGTCATATATCTGCAAAAACTTACTAATTGATTTTATTTATTTGTTTATATGTTTTTGGTTTTCATGCTATTAAGATTTTCACCAGCTAATTTTATAAAAATTACAATGTTGTCTGAAAATATAATCGGAGTTAAGGAGATGAACTGCAGGTTTAGAACGGTTTCTTGGAGCTACTTAAGATGTGCAACATGACCTATAAAGGCCTATAAAGGTTTCTAGGTCAGATTAATAATCTACTGGTTTCTCTGTCAATGGATGAAATTTGTAAAAACCAAGCGTATGCCTAAGAACAAAATATTTCTATGAAACTGTATTCATACTTTGAATAGGGAATTAGGGATATGTATGAGGTTATAAGCAGTTTGGACACAAAATACAAAAAACATCCTTTATGAGAGAAATCCTAAAATTTTGGAATTAGGGAAATGGAAATTTGGCTTGGAAAAGATAGAATGAATTAAACCAGATAATAATGAAGGATGACTAAATTTGGGTGGTATTTGAGTTGGTCTTGTCATGAAAAGGCAAACTTGTCCCAAATAAAAATGATCAAGATGGCTCACATTGAGGAAATTGAAAGAGAGAATGAATAAAACTTGGGCTATTTGAAGGTGCCTAAGGAGTAATTTGAAACCTTGTGGAGAGCTGGAAGAGATGCTAACCAGAAAATCTTATTAAATTTATAATAACAATAGGGAGGAACATGGATTGAGCTGAGATAGGCCCATGCCAGGTTTTTATAGGGGTATAAGAGAATTTTATATGTGCAAGCCCACTATATGCTTAAGCCCAGTTCTATGCAAATGGGAATGGGCATCTAGCTTGCCATAATAAGTCATTGTGGTCAAGCCTATTGTAGAACCAAAACTAAAATCTAAGCTTACCTTGAAACTTACAAAGGATAGGTCCTTGATGTTAAGCCTATTGCAAATTGCAAAACCAAAACTAAAAATCTAAATTTACATTGAAAATTACAAAAATATATTATCAAGTGAAAACTTGTTTTCATGTTCAAATCCGGTCCTAAGGTTTTGATGACAATTCTTATAGTGTTCTTTTGTCATTTTATTGTTTCTTTTACCCATCTACTCCAAAGTCCCAATAATAGAAGCATCTAGTGGGTAGGAACCAATTTAAGTGTCATTCTCAAGAAGAGCTTGGATTTTGGCATCCATATTTTCTTTCCAGTGCGGAACAGCCATCGCCTACTGTAAGTCCTAGGAATATTTGTGACCAATTCTGAGTGAGAAATTTGCTCCCATTTTTAATGAAAAAACAGTGGAAGAAATGCACTCACACCAAACACCTGCAAAACTGAACCAGAGTGCAAATTTGCTTTGGTTCTTCAGTTGCACTCTTACCAAATGCAGCCTTAGGATTCCACCATTTGTCTGGTAGAGAGGCATTATTTATTTTTTTTCTGGGTTAATAGAAGCATTATTTCCCCCACATTCAAAGTCAGTTATATCGCCAGTCATGCTTCTGATTTTTGTCCCTATAATATCAGCCATTGAAGTTTGAAAAACTGGGATGAAAAAAAAGGTGATTAAAATATGAAAGTGGTTTTGAAAGCACTAGTCTTTAATTTGTGTGTACTAACTCCTGGCTCTACCCTTGATTGTATATAAACGAAATTCTGTTGTAGTGTAGTTTTTTACAGCTCCTTTGCATGTTGTATAATGATTATTCTACCTTGTGGTCCATTTAATTAAAATTCTGAAATAAGCTAAATGACATGTTCCTTTTAATGATCTAATGGAGCAGGTAAAGATCATTGGGTCATATGGGGCACGTGCCAGGCAAGATCTTCCCAAGTTGGTTAAACTTGCTGAGACAGGCATCTTCAATCTTAGTGCAGCTGTTACAAGAAAATGCAAATTTGAGGAGGCAGGCAAAGCATACCAGGATCTTGACAGTGGAGGCATAGTTGGACGAGCTGTAGTTGAGATTATGTAATATTCTGTCCATCTTTCTTAATAATGGTTGGGGCTTCTCCAGTGAAAGTAGATGGTTGATGTTGTGTCCATCTTTGATCTTTCTTAATAATTGTTGGGACTTCTCCTGTGAAAAGTACAGATCCTTAGGAAGTTAATGCAATTTCATGTTCTAAAAGAGTTTCCGACGAATGGGGAGTACTAAAAAAATTGATGGCACGGTGCAGTAAAATAATGTCAGTACTTACTGATTTGGCCTAGCCATTTAGTGCAATAAATAAATAATTGCAGGGGGTTAGGTTTAGTTTAGGTTCCTATCCAGTTATCCACCCCTTCCAGGATAGCCATTCATTGGTTCGTCTGGGCTAAATTTATACGGATCTCACGGAAGGGTACAGTTCGGGTTGGGTTAGGTCACTGGATTTGGTTTTTCCATGATGTGGAACCGAATATGCTGGTTATCTATTGGCTGGATCTATTGCCACATCCCCAATAGACCAGTAAAATGAAACAAGCACAAAAATCAAACCTAGAGTCAAAAACCAAGTTAGCTCCAATGTGTTTAGTCATAGATCAGTAAGGCTGTGTTTTTGCATTGCAAATTTATTTGCACTAGTACAAATGCATGGAGTGCAAATGTAAAAAATGCAAATTCTTGTTCAATTTTACTTTATTCTGCTTCATGTCTTGATTTATTTCATTTCTACTGCAATCAAACAAAAGCTAAAATTTAAAACAAAAATGTCACAATTCATACTCAAATCATTTGCACTGCCATGGTTTTGCATCAGTGCAAATTTATTTGCATTGTAGCCAAACACAACCTAAACAACTAAACAAAGGAGAGAGAGAGAGAGAGAGAGAAAGAGAGAGAAGATGAACAAGAATGAGCAGGGTGGTAAGCTTATTTTAATTTAATGCAAAATTACTATATCATCTTCAAATATGACAACATCAAATTTCTTACAGCTGGTGGAAAGCTTATTTTGATTAGGCATGCACCGACTAGCACCTCAATACATCTTCTTACAGGTGTAAGTAACCACCCCTAAGATTGTAATTAAGAGAGTGGAGCAAATCTTATCTCGTTTTTTGTGGTCGGATGGCAAACAAGAAAGCGAACATTCTTGGGCATCATGGCATAGACTAGCTCGCCCCTACAAGGAGGGCGGCCTTGAAATACAAACGATGCAAGATGTTCATCAGGCCCTTCGATTGAAATCGCTTTGGAGACAGCTCGCCCCTACATGAAGAGAATTGGCAGTTCATTGAAGATCTTGTGGAAGGCTCTAAGTGGCTAGTGGGTGAGGGGACAGTCAACTTCTGGCTAGATTAAATGATTAGATATAGGCCCTTTCGGTAGACTAGTAAGTGTGTACGTGGTAATTCTAGATAACGATAATGATAGTAATAATGTATCCAAAAATTTTTATAAATACGTATTTTTATTTTTGTTTTTATATTCATTTTGCTTTTTATTATTAATCTGATGCATATTGCAAAATCCAAATTTGATTACATCAACACCTCATCAAAATATGTGACAATCGGATTGAGCTATGAAGTTTCAAGTATCATTGACAGGTCTACATGCTTGGTTAGGTTCTTCTTTTTATAATATTTTATCTTTTTTGTGTTTTTCTGTCTATTTATAAAAAAAATGAAAGATTAAAATAGAGGAAATTGAATGAGGTGAAAAGTAGTTTAATTTACAAGTTAAACCTCAATTAAATAGACTCTAAATTAAAAAATAAGTATTTTAGTCAAAAAAAAGTTTCGCAATCTTATTTATATTTTTAGTAGTCTAAATATAGAATTATAGATGTGTTTAATTTTTTCTATATTTTTGTATATTTTTTTGTAAAAATAATTTTGATACGTCACACTTACTTTTTGTTTAATATGATAATTAATTAATATTATACACGTGTCTGAATTTTTTTGCAACATTTATGTATTTTTATATTTTATTAATTTTTATTATTTATTTATGACCAAAAAGTTGAACTATTGATCTTTGCCAAATAGTAAAATAAATTTATTTTTGGTCAGTTCTAAAGTATGTATTTCATTTACATTATCGATAAAAATAATTCCTTTTATTACACTTATTTTTTTAATTTGATTAATAAAAGTATCACAAATGTGTAATTTTTTCTACATTTTTGTAATTTTTAATATTTATCTCTATTTTAAAAATTTTATTACCTAACTATGACTTCATAGGTTTATCAGTTTGATTGGAATAGTTAAATTACTTAGTCATCACTTGGTTAAAGAATGTTTTTGTTTTTTAGCTAGTTTTAAAATATATGAGTTTATATTATTAAAAATATTGACATAAATCTAATTAGTACCATTTATTGGGGAAAATAACTTAAATATAGAATTTAATAAGAGAAAATGAGAGTTAAAACCTTTAAGTATAAGACTTAATGAAAGGGGACTAAATGAGGTGGAAAGTAATATTGAAATTACATTTTCAACCCTTACAATTAGATATGTAATAAATAAACAAATATGGGCAGTTTATTAGCCATCAAAAGTTGGTATTAAAGTTGTAATTAAATGACTTTCATATCCTTTATCAAACAAACAAATAGAAGGTAACTTTAGTCCGAAAAATTTCCACTCCGCACTTTTATATATAGTATAAATAATTTTTCTTTTGTTCATTAATTAGAAAAATCCATGTTTTAAATAGAGGGAATTGAATGAGGTGAAAAAGTAGTAGTTCAATTTATAATTTAAACCTTACAATTAAATAAGGACTAAATTCAAAATCATTTTAGTCAATGTTTTAAAAATTGGACTAGACCAGACAGTCAAACCTTTTTGGCCCAAAACTGGTCAGGTCACTGGTTCCATTTTGGCCATAAACCGCTATTTTAGAAAAAAAAAACTATTGAAATGGTCAAAGAACTACTGATTTGAACAGTTTAACCATTAAAATGTTCGACCCATTTAATGGTTCTCGAGGTGCTTTCAAACTATTTTCAAATTTTGTATTTATTTTAAAATAGATATTAGAAAATAAAAAAATGATAAAAGAAACTCAAAATCTTGTTTGATTACTCCCAATTACCAAAATTAGTTAGGGTTTTTAGTTATTCTATTTTGATTTTGATTTTTCTCATTTCTATGATTCTTTTTAAGTTGTAACAAAAAAAAATTGCAACAACAATGAAAAAAAAAATGAAAAATTGATGCAAGAGAGAGAGATCAAACACCAATCTTATATTAAAAGTTGAGATACACCAATGAATTAAATGATCTAGGATTTGAGAGAGATTTAGAGAGATGAGATAGATGTAAGAAGAGGGCAAGTGATGTTGCAGCGATGGTCCACTGACTCGGAAACCAGAAGCCAAAATGGTTCTGTTTTTGTGTGAGTTTTTAAAACATTGATTTTAGTCAAAAGAAAGTTCCACAATCTTATTTATATTTTTAATAGTAGTGTAAATATATAATTATAGATGTGTTTAATTTTTTTATATTAGTTTTATATTTCTGTGTAAAAATAATTTCGATATGTCACACTTATCATAAGTGCGGTGGTTAGGCTACATACGAGGGTCACCTTGAAGAACGAAGGAAGATTTGAGGTAGGAGGTAGGTTGGAGACTAGGGCAAATGGTAATGATAAGATGACAGGATGGAATGGTGATCCCATTATGAGATGGACCTGAAGGAAGGGTTAGAATCCATCATATGGATGGCCGAACCACGCTAGATGGCTGGGCTAAATTTCAAAAATTTTCTAATCCTTTCGGGAATCAAATTCCCTATGTTTTGATAAACTGTATTTTTTAGGATCGGTCTTGCACTTAACCAAACTAGATTTGAAACCAAACAAAGAGGGAGATGTATACCTGATATGAATACCACAAACGCAAATCCCAATGTGGAAGTTCACAACCAAATCAGTCCTAAAACCAGCCACCACTGAAGATGGCGGTGTACTCCTGAAGCCGGTTCAGCAACACAATTTTCAACAAAACTGCAATCCAGTTGCTTGGATCGAACTAGGGTGGTGAGCACGAAATTCCTTTGAATTTTTTGTGTAAAAATTAGAGGAAAAACTTATCTATATTAGTCCCAAATAGTTGAGGTCAAACTAGGAAAAAACTAGGAGACAAAAGGGTGTAGAGAGGACCAGAAACTGCAAAAATATGAAGTTGGCTTGGATTGGTCCACCCCCTCTTCTTTTATAATCTCTTATGGAGCTATCTCCTAATCTAATTAGGAGATAATCTAGACCTAAATCAAATCTAAGCTCTAATTAGAGATATACCTTATCTTCTTATAAGATTAGGTGCTCCAAACCCATATTTGCCCCATGTAAGTTGTCATGTGATTGCTCAATTAATCATATTAATTATGGGCTTTAGGCCCATCAGCTATAAGGCTCACGACCCAAGGGTGTTGCATGGCCAACTTAGGCCTGATTTGTAAAGTGTGAGACTCCACAATGACTTCACATAAGTCCACATGGGTTCGGCCTAGCCTCTGTGAAAACTCTTGGCCGAATTTACTACAAAACGCAATGAACCCCTGAGCACATCACCATGGGCTAACAATGGGCCCAACATTTACACTTGAATGATCCATGAGTCCATCCATCCTATGAAGGCCCAAGGATAATGGACTTAAGTAAGATAAATGCTATCAGGTAATCAACCCTATAATGGTCTCTTACACTTGACCTCTCGGCCCATAATGATTAAACACTGCTCGATAGGGAAGGACCTCTCCCCTGGTTGCAAGGTGCAGTGTCACACTCTCTGCTCCAAATCTCAAATACAGTTGAAATCCACTGCCGACAATATAGGTTTCCATCAGGGAGAGTGTAAGCCCTATCATTCACTTTGTGTGACAAAGGGGTCGATCCCATCACTATGATCACCCACTCAGATGAATTCTCAAATTGCCCCAACATACCTAGGTTTTGACCCTCAATGGATCTCACTGATTGGCATATCAAAGACAACCCAATCCGACACCTTGTGCAGTACCATTATCAAGTCTAAGGGTTATGTGTAACATTCCAGTTTTTCCCATCAATCTCCAAGGTCCAAGGCATAACTAGAAAATGGTTCGGGTTCAGTGTTTATCCAAACACACATTCCATGTGCTTTAGGTCTAACCCTAGCAACTGAGACAAGTCAATGGAGTCCTCTCTTGGTAGTTAC